CGCAATAAGATGGACTTCATCCAACTTATTCCAAAAACGAGAACTTGATCCTTCAAGGCAAACATGTTTCATTATTTATAGAAGTACACATTTTCACAATTTTTTTCTTTTTAATTTTCTCACCTGCTTGGAGGTGATGTCTTACGTGGTCAACACCTCATCAGATGGTTTCCGAAGATTCATTTTCGACCTGGATAAGCATTTTTTTTTTTTTTTTACACTTTCCAATTATCATATAATTTCAAACTTCATATTTACATATTTTTTATAGTTAATGTCAATAAAAGAGAGTTATTTTTTTTTTAAGGTATTTTAGAGGAAGACGTATATGAACATTCGATATTTAAGCCCTGTAAAATGATATCAATGGGGATAAGACCTAAATGATATTAAAGACCACTTAATTATACAATGATACACCAAGTTTAATAAAAATCGTTAGATTTTTTTTTTTTTTTGAGAAAAATGTGTTTCACCATTGATATAAAGTGGCATTTCCGGTTAGCTGATTTAAGGAAAAAGTTCTTGTGACATCTATCTATCTTAAATACGTAATATCAGTTTCGTACGACATTTCGTTTTTGAGCTAGACTGTTCACATACACACAGACCATTTTTCGAAACTTCGTTATTTGGACTCAGGGGACCTCGAAACGTGTAACTCAGATTCGAAAATTTTCACGATCGCAATACTTTCCCTTACTATATATTACATATATACGTAAGTGAAAGTAATAAGCGTTTTCGTAAATAAAAATTAAGTCAAAATAGTTGCAAATACTGGGCAAATTTAGTTAATATATGTTAAGAATTGGTAGAACCAATATACTTTTGCATTTTACTCTACCAATTTTTCTTTTGGGATTTAGTTAGGTTTCCTCATTCTGAAAAGTTATAGTAATATCTATACAGTTTATAGTAGTAATATTTTTTAAAGTTATTATAATTACTATTAGTTATTATTATTAATAATCATTATTATTCATAATCCATTTCTCCTTTTTACTCGTAGGCGAAACCATCACATCAATATTGTGCAAGAGTCTCGCAACAGTCTTGCAGTTACTTATTAGCGTAGATATTACTTATTAGAGATATTACTGTAATTTTTTAGATAGAAGAAACCTTAATGAAAAATTAGAGGAGTTAAATGCAAAAGTATATTGGTTATACCAATTGTTTACATATGGCAACTAACATTGTCAATTATTAGTAAAAATTTAGCCTTAATTTTTATTTAAAAAATCGATTTTTTTTTTTATCAGTCCTGGTCTTGATCTTGCAAAGTGCAAGACCAAGACCGATTTTGGGCAACACTATTCACAACAGACAGTGAAGAAATTAAACGAGCTGTGTTACGATGTCCTTCCACACCGACCTTATTCACCAGACTTAACTCCAACAGATTTCCATCTGCACAGAATTTTATACAACTGACTTAAAGATAAAATTTTTGAAAATAATACTAGGTCAAAAACGAATTTTCTGATTTAATGTCTTCGCAGTTTTCACTTATCGGATTAAAAAGTTGCTAACACGTTAGGGGAACTGTATAAAAAATGAGATTAAATATTTTGAATAAATATGTTTTGATTTCATAAAGTTATTATACTAAATAAACTTCCCTGTGAAAACTGACATTTCATATCAAACGACCCGATATCTAGATAAAATTTTTACAGTGAAATTTATGGAATAGTCGTATTATTTATTACTAATGCTTGGGTCATTTATTTATTTATTACAATGTGATATATAAAGTTTTATCAACAAACTGGATTATAATGCCGTTCTTGAAACGATATAAACTTATAAATAAAATTAAATAAAACAATATTCATAAAAATTTTATGATTCGGAGAGATTTCAAAAAGCATTGTAAAAAGACCGCATTGCGGGACTGGCCTCGACCCCCTCCAACCACCCCATCCAACATTTTGAACAGCCAATATATATATATATATATATTTTTTTTTTAAATAAATAAAAAAAACTTTTTCAGAATTATATATTAATAAATATATATTTATTAATTATTTATTTAATTTGAAAAAAAAAAAGTACGAAATTCACGACAATTTATATATATAAAATTATTTGAACTATATTATACAGAAATTTGGTTAGTTAAAAGTCTTTACGATAAATTAAATTAAGATAATTTAATTTAGTAAAATTCTGTTGAAATCATTATAAATCCATTAAAATTCACCATACTTAATTAATGCTATTTAAACAGTATTTGGAGAGATTATACAAATTAAAATATATTACTAAATATTTAATAAAGTCTCTCGTATGAATTATATTATTCTAGAAGCGAATGGTAAAATATAAAAAAACAAATTTTAAAAACCATTAAATCTTAAAAAAAAGTTTCATTTCAAATTTCATACTTAAATATCTTCGGCTTATCGCAAAAAATGTACTAAGTATATTTTTGATAAAGCTGAATTTTTTTTTCTAGAAATTTTTATGAATTTCGATCTCATTTATGTATAAAAAAAGATAACAAGAAGTATAAAAAAATATTTAAAAAATGATATCAAATATACAACAAAGATATAATGTTCTGATTTCACAAAGGGATCAAATATCTTATTGTTTTAAGGTTATGTTACTTAATGGCTTTTTGCAATGAATCCACAATATATTCATTGAAATGATATATAAAATATTTTTTATTATTATTAATTTACAAGCAATAATATATTATTATACTAATGTATTAGATATTAATATTGATGTTATTAGTGAAAATTTTACATTATAATATTAAAAATTTATTAGTGAAAAATCTCTTCAAAAGATCTAGAAATATATATATGATATATATATATTATATATATATATATATATATATATATATATATATATATATTTTAAATTATTATTATATTTATTAAAAATAATATTTAACAATATATTCTTAACAAAATTAAGTTATATACTTATTTTTTTAGTTTAATTTTATTTTTCTCGTAGACTTTTTCCTTTAAGCTATATGTCAAGGTCGGACTGGTTTTTATGCTACATAAAACGAAACAATAGACAACCTATCGATCCACTGAGATGGGTAAAGGTTTTATTGATAATTTATAAATAATTATAAATAATTTTTATACCTAAATAAACATTTTTTTCAAAAATAATATTTAAATATATATATTTTTAAAATACACGAAAATTATAATTATACATTTCATGTAAATTAAATTTCGATTGAAAATATCAATTTTCAACAATTGGATAAAATGACATTTTTTAAAAAATAAATTAAATGACCTTTAGATGCATTAATCAATCAAGAAATCATTTTTTAAATTAAAACAAATATATATGAACGTTTGATATGTTTCGCAATTTTTTAAATATAGAAATATATGAATATCCTTGATAAATACATATATGTGAATTGATAGAATGAAATAAAATGTTGAAATAAAAAATTAATGATATCGTATTGGAATGACCCCAAAAGACAACATGAAGACCCTAAACTACCTGTAGATAGAACCTTCAACAGGCATCATTACTTTTAAACAAAAACACAAACAAATTCTCTAATTTTTTATTTTATTTTTTTAAAATGAATTTTCTATATTATTAAATAACTGGAACAATATTTTACAAGCTAAATCATTTCTGTTATCATTAAAAAAAAAAAAATTAAAATTGAACTATTTAATCTATATTCAAAAATATAATAAACGTTTAAACAAAAATATATTAAACAAAAATAAAAAAAAATATAAATATATATTAAAATATATCAGTTTTAATTTATTTTTATTTTTTTAATTGTAATATATATATAGCAATGATACAACTGAAAAATTAAACATTAAAGTAATGATAATATTTTTTTAAAGTTTTAAATAAAATTAAAAAAAAAAGGTACAATATTTTTAAAATATTATTTAATTTTTTTATTTTTAAAAAATGTATTTATTTTAAAAATTGAATTTATTAAATATTTTTTTGGGAAAAAAAAATAGGCACTTAAACTTCAGAAGCCAATGTCACATCGATAATACCAACTGTTGGGTTGCCCCAGTTTCCGGGAAACAAGGCAATGATACCATGTATTTTTTTAAAGCTTTAATTAAACGTTTTAGATTAATTTATAATTAATTCATATAATTAATAATAATTATTTAAAAATTAAATAAATGGGAAAAAATTATATGAATTAAAAAAAAAAAGATTGATTAAAGAGGATTTGTTATTTAATTGTTTTGTTTTTTTAAATTATTTAAGATTGAAAATAAGGTATGATTTAGGAAGAAATATTAAGTATATTATTTTTTTTTTTCGGAGAGAAGTATATGGAATATTTTTTGACAATTTGGCATGTTTTATTGTTTACTTTTTAAGTATTATAATTAAATATTTAGCATCGTTATAATCATTTTTAATTATAAAAAAAATTAAATATAATTATGAGAATGTTAATAATGATAAATAATATATATATAATGATAAAACTTTAGGGACTTACCAAATAAAATCTTTGCAGTGGCTGCAGAAGGTGGGCTGCTTGAAGAACCTGGGGATGAACTTGTGACCCTTGACGTTGTACACATTCTTCTTCTTGAGGGCTCCTTTCCTACCGCGAACTCCAAGACCAAACTTGGTATTGATGTCAGAAGTTGACAGTTCGTCGTTCGTATTCGCCTCCTCTTCCGCCATCACTGGACCGCAGTTTGAGGCCGAATGACGGCTAGCCCGGCGACAGCAGCGAACCTACCGCACGCCAGTTCAAACACTCCGTCAATGAACTGCCTCCGTTCATATAACTCATCTCCTTCTACAAATATATATATGAATTTATATACTGATTTATGTACACCATTCTAAATCAACAATACATACATAACTAACACATAAACAAAAACCATAACTAAATTATACATAGTATTTAAATTAACAATACATAAAAGAATAATGGAAGTCAACAAAGTTGAATTATCAACGATTAAGTAAACATTGGAGTAACCCTCATGCAACCTTCGTTGATTAGTATCATTTGTATACATTTGTGTCTGTTATCTTCAAATAGTATTAATGTTATTTATCTTTCAATGAAATGGAACTTGTCGATAAATATTACGATAAAGCGGAGTATGTTGAGACCGTAAGTATTTTTAAAATTTCAATTTGGATAATAATTCAAATATTTAAAACAATTTATAAAATGTTTAATACCATACCATTACACTCCAATGAGAAATCACACATTAGATTATCCTTTCCTCTAATGCATCCAACATTTAAGTGACATCAGGGAAACATGTTCACACAATCAGTGAACCTTCATTCTTTACCTCAACTTTTAAGTAACAATTTACTTTACATTAGCAGATATCTGTCTCTGAACTTATACTAAAATATTATTGTACTCGCCCAAGTCCTACTGGTTTGGTGCTGAAGAGCTTTTTAATCTTTCACTTACAAAGACTATATAAATCTATAACCAAAAGTTTAAAAGTCATACTCAGGTATTTTTTTAATTATTAAAGATTTTCTGAAATATATAAATTTATATACGTACATAACAAACTTCTAAACTAAAATCATAACTAAACTACAGCATTTAAATTAATATATTCTTAAAATCTTGAAATATCAATGATTAAGAAGACCTCGGAGTAACCCTCCTGTAACTTTCATGATCAGTGGCGCTCATGTACATTTGTTTTTTTTTATCTTAAAGTATAATTAAATAGTAGGCCCGTGCGAACATTCGTGCAGTATATTGTTCAGTGATCAAATAATAAATTAATATGAAAATAAAATAATGCAACATATCATAAAAGAAATCAGTTGTTACTTTCTCGCTAAATATAATCAACAAAGCCAACATCTTAGTATCTTTGATAATAATTGTCCGATTTCGACGATTTTTCTTTTTCCTTTTGTAAGGAATTTAGTAATTTTTTTTATATTATCATTGACATAACCAAGGGAAAAGTATTTAATTTTTAAGTATCCGCAAATAAAGTTTTTTTTTATTCATAACTTTTTTTCCTGAATTTTCTTGGTGATTGGGCTATTTTTCCCACCTGAAGGAGAAGGAAATCTTCAAAATTGGTGACTCAATCTTGTGGATTGGATGAAGAATTAACAATTATACAGCTTACCGAAAAAAAAACATCTTTGATAAACAATATAAACTCCTCTCTTGATCATAGGGACCTCAAGTTGATGATAAGAGGCATGTATTCCATGACAGTACTACAATTAACGTAAGGTTGTGTGGATGCGAACTTGCATCATCTCGAAAATAGGAGGTTTTTGGACTTAAAAATGCAGGTCCCGATAGTTCCTTCAGAATTATCCGTGACTTAAAAATGAGAAATAGCTGATAAATAAAATTGCTGCAAAATCTTGAACATATTCTAAAGAAAAGTGAAAAGGAATTCTCCCTGAAGGAACCTCCTGAAACAAAGACCAACCTTGCTCCATTAAAAAAGAAACTGCCAGTCAGCTGTTGTGGTATGATGTTACTCGAGGTTTAGGCATTATCCTCCTAAGTATTTTTAGCTGAAAACCTATTTGTATTTGCGCCACCCATAGTTATTAAGCTTACCATTTGTTAATGAACTGGAAAATGTCTATAAATGGTACATTTATCTTACCTATAAATCTTTCTAAAGTCAATTGAAATGTTCTTTTTATCGCTAAGTACTGTTAATGTACACGAAGTATATTCTAGTTCTGATAATTTGAAAAATATACTCTATAAGTCTTTTACTGAAGTTTTAAGAGTATTTTTTAGAGCCATGACATGTAGGATTACAGAGAAATATGATAGCATACAAAGCTGCAAATCAAAACTTAGTGAGAGGAAAAATATTAAAATTGATAAAAGTGAGAGCATTTTAATGAGTGAGAACAATAGAAGTAAACCAGGGAATGAGAAGATAGTACTAATTGTATAGTTTAAAAACGCATGTATCACTACAACCCATAAAGAGTCTTGGTTTCAGAACTTGGTGAGGAAGTACTGTTACTAGGCCACTGGTTGTGCAGGGAGGTGATTGGGCCGAGATCACTCTCAACCACTAGATTTTAACTCTTAATTAATTATTCAAATAACATTGCCTATTTTTTAGAGGCTGGGTGTGCCCCAGGGTCTATCCATGGCCGATGAAAAATTACTAATCATTAGCCGGATTAGAATCTGGGACTTTGAGGGCTGGAAGTCAGTGCTCACCCACTGAGTTACCCTGCTTCCTAATTCCATGTTTTAGGACAATTAAATTTCATCTCAACCATCATGGGAGGAAAAATAAAATTCTTCATATAACAGGCCTAGCTAAGATCTGTGTCTTTAAAACATGTCAATGCCTGGAGGATCCAAGACAAATTGTCTTCCAGCCCTAGCAATACTGGTTCGAATCTGGACTGGGATTCCTCCTACTCCGGTTAGAATAGGTTTGGCTATACCACTAGAATAACCCCTCCCCCATATACCAGAAATGGTGGATTGGAGGTTAAAAATAATATAGCCTTCCAGAGTAATAAGTCGGAGAAACAAAGAGAATTAGTTTAGAGTCGTAAGTTAAAGATGATGGTGTTAATTTCCTACAATCTGTAAATAAAGATAAGCTATTATCTCCTATTCTCAAACTATTAAGTTACACCCAGAAAGGAAAAGCTAAGATCGAGCATGATACAAAAAACAAGTAGTTGAATATTTCAGTGATAGTTCACTTTTGTCATGTCTGATTCACGGGTGATCACATTGATCACACTACTGAATTATGAATTATAGAGATTAAGTTTTTATTAAACTCTTAAAATATTGTATTTATTAAGAAACAGTTTCTGTACCAATGCAGGCAATTTTTTGTATTTTTATGTAAATTGTTTTTTCTTTACATACTTAAATAAATGTATCATGTCCTATTAATGTCATTTCATCGACATAGAAAATTATGGAAATATCACAACAATGTTTCGATAGACATCATTTTAATGATTTTCTACATTAACTCGCTGCCTGTATGTGACTAATTGATTTTAACAATGTGGCCTATCAGTTAGGCTAGAATCCATTCTGTACCTCGATTCAAGCGTAACATACAGAGCTTTCAAGCATGACCATCAGGAAAACTACAAAATGTTATGAACGAAATTCGAACTCGAGGCTCTGAACGTTTGCGGATTAAATGGTTAAAAATTATTGAATATATAGTTCACGATTTGCTTTTATATTATCAATTATAATTTTCTTATTATCTTACCTCAAGAGAAAGAACACAAAGTAAAAATTAATAAAAACGGAATTCAACTAAATTACTAAAAAAAAAAAAAAAAAAAAAAAATGGAGCCAACAACTTTTGGCTCTAAAAGCAAACCAGTGTTGACAATCGACAAATCATCTTTTATTTGAATTATTTTGTTTGATAACCATCTGTGGTCGCCAGTATTAGAACATATTCAGGATTGTACAGGAATATTTTATTTTAGGAAAAAAATTCAGTTACTGAGAAAATTTCTTTCTACTAAGAGATTAATTATAATGTACATTTTTTTATTATTCTGCCTGTTAAAAATATGTTTCATGTTTTCAGTGTTTTAAGTTGTACAAATTTATTAATGGTATCAGTTAAGAACTAATCATACCATATGTGTAAATATGAAAACTATTTTTTTTTTTTGTGAGGAGAGGGTTCTCGGAGAGAGTTCTCGGGGTTTTCCCAAGCATGAAACCTAAATTTGTCTACAGCTAGCTCTAATTGTTAATGCTTTTTTTTTTTTTTTTTAAAGTAGCATGTTTTTTACAAGTATAATTTCAACTTATAGGCCTCCCCTAATTAAAGGGATATGGTCCAACTTCCCGCAGGTACCAGCTATACTGTACGAGTAGGGATTCGATCCTATTATCTTCACTTTACTAGAACAGCGCTTTAACCACATTGCTAAACGGGCTTCCCTTGTAGTTAATCTAGTTACCATTAAACCGCATTATTGAGCACCATTTTGTTTCTTCGACAGCTGGCCAAGATTTCCAATACACAATACAATTTGCATATAATAGCATCATTTTAATATTGTTGAACAGAACATATCAAGTTTTGTGTCTACGAACTATGATTTGCTGACAGCATTAGTTTTTTGTTACTATCTATAAGGACAAACACTGCAGAATTACATCTAATTCTTGTTTTGAAACTTACAGTGAGTATGCTCTTGGTAAATCGCAGTGCTATGGGTGGTTTAAAAAAATGTTCTGAAATGTGGAAGTGATCAATTATGAGCTGCTAAAAACTGACAAAACAGTTATTACTGATTGCTATTGTCAAAAAATGATTGTTTTAAATCAAGTGTTGTGTGAAAAGTTACCAGAATATTAAAAAATACAATCAAAGTTATTTTGATTTATTAAGCATTCATTATTATAATATTAGCGCATGCGGCTTACTCAGCAGACTTGTTTCTGACTGATTACTATTTATTTACATCAATGGGGCACGAACTCCCTTAGCAGTGCTTCGCTTCATTTGAAAATGGCTTGATGACTGTTTTGCCATAAATAGTTTTTCTGACAGGGCATTTATAAATTGCCAGAGAGATAGGAAAAATGTATAGCTAGTGACAGACAATATTTTAAGAAAATAAATATGTACTTCCTATACAAAAATTCTGATTTCGTATTTACACACTTGAAAAAGTGAGAATTTTAATATTAGTGACAATTTTTGGATTAGCTGAATTTGATTGTAGACAGGTAGGCAAAATGTAAAGCATTAAATATCTTTTCAGCTTACAGCATTCTTTCTTGCATATCCTTCTGTCATACTTAAATTTTGTTATATTGTCTTTGAGAGGAACTGTTTCAAAATACCAGTTATTTTATATTTATAATAAAAAATTGTAATGTTGCAGACTTCAGGAAACAAAGTGAGCAGACAAACTGTTCTCTGCGGTTCCCAGAACATAGTCTTGAACGGGAAATGTATCGTCCAGTCAGACGCTATCATACGTGGAGACTTAGCCAATGTACGCACCGGCCGATACTGCATCATTAGTAAAGATGCGGTTATTAGACCTCCCTTCAAAAAGTTCAGTAAGGGGTGAGTATTCATTACTATTACTACAAGAATTTAATTGATTATTCCTTTGATTAATATTAGCGGCACATTCATATAATGTGTTAAGTGCAGAAATAATATTTATGGAAAAACGTAATTGAAAGTTTGGAATTTTCACTGGTGCAAGTTCAATTTTCATTACAACCCATGATTTACAAAGGAACTTTCATCTCTATAATAGCCGCAAAACTTAGCCCATTAGACAAAAAGAAAAAAAATCTGGTGCGCGCATCACACGACTTTTACTTACCACCGTCTTCTTAGCAGAAATAAGTATTTTCAGACAAAGGGGAAGTGAAAGTAAAAATTATTGACGCTATGTTTATTCACAATTCATTGTGGGTATTTTTATTAGTTTAACTATTAATTTTTATATCACTGTATTCCATATAATTAAATATTAAATAATACCAACAATATCATTTATGAACATAATATTCTCAAAGTCTGTATTATATGAAGCTCATGTTACGTATGGAATCCTGTTATAATCTTTCGGGCAAGCTCGTATTCCTTTGATTCCTCTATTACAACTATTATCTGTTAAGATCTCTTATTTCTCCTTTAGTTAATTATCAAATTCTTTTATATTTTATATTTAACTATTTTTTATATCAAAGATTAATATTAAATGGTTAATTATTTCAAATAAAAAGAAATAAAGGTACTTTAGAGGAAGCCAATAATGAAAATTAGCCATTTAAGTCCTGATAGAGAACATCAATGAGAATAAATCCTACATTATATTAAAAATTGCTTAATAATACACCTATATACTGAATTTAATCAAAATTGTTAGAGCCTTTTTGAGAAAATCGTAAAAATGTGTTAAATCAATTATATAAAGTAACACTTCTGGTTTGCCGATTTTGATGAAAATATTGCTGTAACATTAAAAACCTTAAATATGCAATTTCACTTTCATACAACTTTTTGTTTTTGAGCTAGACTGATAACATACATACACACACACACACACACACACACAGACCATTTTGTGGGATTTGGTTATTTAGACTCAGGAGACCTCAAAACATTTATTTCTATTGAAAACTCAGCCTCAAAAATTTTCACAATCGCAATGCTTACCTTTACTATATATTGCATATATAGATAAGTAAAAGTAAAAAATTAACTTTCTATTGGTTCCCATAAAAATTCACAAAATTGCACTTAACACACTTTTCACAGGTGCCACAGATATATTGATTAAAAATTACACTACCATTGATAATTTAACCAATCAATGCTATATCCATCAATAAAATGCAGATTGTAATTAATTATTAATATTTAAAAAATAGTATAATGTTTTAATTTTTTTGTTTCAGTGTAGCTTTTTTTCCCTTGCATATGGGAGATCATGTTTATGTCGGTGAAGGTTCCATAGTCAATGCTGCATCTGTGGGATCTTATGTGTACATTGGAAAAAATGTTGTTATTGTAAGTTTATTATTTATTATTATTGGATTATTTTTACCTGACTTTGTTGAACCTAAATGGCGAATAAAGCATAATTAGCTCTGCCATTTGTAGGTATGTAGTAATTTTTTGTACAAATGGTTAAACTGTCCTTGAAGTTTATTGGCTCGAATTATTCAGTGAGATTCTTTGAGTGTTTTGAAACAATTGAGTACAAAATACTGTCAAGTTTATTAAATGTGTTAAATCTATATGTTTGAAGGTTTGTAACGACTATTTGAGGAAAAAACTCAACTGATATGTAAGTTTTATGGCTCAAATTTATTCAGTAAGATCCCTTGAATTGAATGAGCTTAAAACACAAGAAAAAATATTTTTTTATATTTTGAGTATTCTTGGTAGTTCATTGGTTTCATATCATATCATGTGTAAGTTCATGATCGTTTGTCATTAATATTTAAAATAATAAAATCCTTATATTTGTCAATAGTTACAGTTACGTTGAGATACAGTTTTGAATAATAGCTCATTACAAGTAGGATGAAATAATGAATATTTTCCTTGCTAACAGTATGAATGTCTGAATTTTAGTTTTTGTGATATTTTAATCCATATGCAAAAACACTTCAATCTACTCCAGCCAACTTTACCCAAGCATTGCACATCAGACATCTGACGGCTCAATCTAATTTACTCTGCACAAAAAAGTGCAAAACGCACCTAAAGAAGTTTTCACTTCAAAAATAATTTAATTTAGAAATTGTCTACATAAATAACCCTACCTGCCCTAAAAGACTGAATATCCTTGCTTATATACTTGTAAGTGATCAAACAACATTTCCGTGAAGATGAGGTGCTACCAATTAAAAGTGTTGATCCACTTTTGGACAGCACAAGATCCTCATGACTACACTATATATTGAATATGAATGAAATTGGCCAAGTATTGGTTACATGTTCACAATATAACCTCCCTTTATTTTAATCACAATTTATTTTTTCTACAAACTCTCATTTGGTCCTTTTCAGTTGAGATCAGAGCCTTAATTAGATTTAATTACATGAATACTTTCGATTCACACTCCCTACGCTCGTTGAAAAGGAATAAGCAAACCCTCGACAGGTACTTTTCTGAGACTACTCAGTCGTTTCTGTCTACTTTGCACACATTCTGCCATTCTCGGAATTCCATTTATAGTGTGATCATCAGATCTTGTGTCTGCTATTAAATCGGAGCAACACTTGTAAAGTAGTACTGACAAGGTTGTTTCCCTGGGCCTGAACCACATCCACGCTTCTATATTGATAAAGTTGTGAAATTATCAATAAGTATTAATTTTTTTTATATTATAATTAATATGTGTAAATATTATTATTATTATTTTTTTTTTTTTTAGGGAAGAAGATGTATTTTGAAAGATTGTTGTATGATTGAAGACGATGCTATAGTGCCCCCTGAGACCGTAATCCCATCATTCACGCTGTACAGTGGTAGCCCTGCAGTTAGGAGAGATAATCTCCCTGATTGCACGCAGGATATCATGATAGACTTCACCAGGAATTATTATCAGCACTTTATACCAAAACCGAAAACTAAAGATGAGCTGGTGTAGCGTATCGGTCATATAATTTTTAATTATTATTATTATTTCAAGTAATTTTCTATAAAGTGCACTATTATTTAACAATACTGTAAGTTTATTTATAGCAAAAAGAGATTGTGATATTGTATGCTTATCTATATTATGTTAAAAATGTAAATGTTCAATATCGCTATGGAGCTTCTGTTTAACTAGATATGTTTTCACTAAAGAGTTATTACTTTAATATGTTTTGTATTGTAAACATTATATTTATTGTATTCGTATTTAACATATTATTGTATGAATTAAAGTTTAAATATGTTTTATATAGGACATATTAAAAATTATGCACTTCAGAATCAAGCATGTTAAGGCATATGCATTAGGTATTTGAAGTTAAATCCAGGCAAATTTTGTCCACTTCTAAATGGGAAACTTTTTTGTCCAAAATCATTAGGAGGTCCATAATTATAATAATTTATACCGATTTTTCCTAGAATCGGAGCTTTTGAATGATGACGGGAAGAGAAGAGAACTGAGAAAATTGCCCTCAGAGACAGTTATGGATATTAGTCATGATGGAGCCTGTCACTAAATAAATTTGAATCAAGGTTCACTGCATCGTGAGATTGAGTGAACCTTTTATGGCTATCTGTGCTTTCACAAGTTATAAATGTCTGTGAAGATATGCAATAAAAAAATAAATATCAAAGAGCTAATCTGTTAAGAATATAATAATAATTAGTTAACCTTCTTTAAAAAAAGGTAATTAATTGAATGGTAACTATGCATATGTCAAATTTATGTTTTCAAGTTGTAAACATAATATAACCTATATGAAGGAGATCATTAGAAAAGAAATTGAGCAGTTCCGTTTAACATCTTGTAAAGTTGTGAGAATTGATTTAGCGTGTGTTAGAATTTATATGAAGAAATTTAAAATGACAAAATATTGTATTAATGTCATATAAAATTTTCTTATATGTTATTGGTTAAGTGATCCGAAGATATATTTGAACTGCTCATTTTTAAATCAAATGCTTCTAATTTTTTCACCTTTTACATTCAGAAGCATATATTTACTTTGATGTTAATACATAATTGTATATAATAAGCATTAAAATTAGGTGTATTATTTATTTGGATTTATATTTTGATAGATTATAATATTTATTTTATGATATATAATACTGAATTGTACATAAGCATTTGTATATTAAAGTTGATTGCTTACAATTCTGTTTTTTTTTTTTCTAAATACACATTCATGTATGCTTTTTTTAACTATCCGATGTGTCTACTCATATGATTCTCTTTACAGTTTAGGAGTTAATCCAAAAATTTAGTATGAAAGTTTATATGAGTATATGTGAAAAGTTCAGAATGATAATTAGAACAAGCGTTATTTGAGAAACTAAAGAAACATTTACAAGCATGAGAATTGCAGAACAAAACAAATGCATTTAAAAACATTTGTTTTGTAGGTAATTAAATTACCTTGCAAATGATTATATATTAAATTTACCATCTAATGTTCAAATTTTAAATTATGCTCTAACAAAACTTTTTTTTTGTTTTGACAATGTACTCCATATGTGCAAATTAAAAGTTCTTTAAGTTAAAGACACGTTTCATTAAAATTCTAGCCAATTTGGTGCTATGGTCTATATAAAAACAAATTCTTGCATTTTACGCTGTTGTAATAAAGCAAAAGATTTATAATGTAGTTCAGTTATTGCGGGATTAAACCCTATTATAGAAAAAAAGAAGGAACGAGATCCAAAAATCTGTTCAAGAGATAATCAGAAGATGGACCAATTACTGAAAATGCATTTTTTGGACTCGGGAACTCTGAACCACAAAGATCTCTTGGAAACTACACATCAAAACTATAATGTGATTACGATACTTTTCTTACCTAGATGCGGTTGGTACGTTTATTACTGTTTAAAAGTTTAATTTCAAATTTTTTATAATGAAAAAATTAATATTATATTTTACAAAGTATGACTAAATAACTAATTTATTTATTTTTGAAGGTATTAGAAGGTAAAAACCCTTAAGTTTTTTTTCGTTTTCTTTATTTGTTGTTTAAAGTTGATTTACTGTGTTATACTTAAACCGTTCTGTTCTGTTACATATCCTGATTGTTAAACTATATAGCTTGGATCAGGAAGTAACAAATATCAGACCGAAAATACCCCTGTAGATCCGCCAATACCAATGACTGTTAATGCTTGAATGATATGTCTTCTTGATACTTTGTACTTGTACTGAGGCGAGAGCAAGTGCTTACTAGGTAATATTGTTAAATTGATTTATCAATCTCTAGACATGATTTAAATACCTTCAATCAATCAATCTTTATTTGTTTTGAGGGAAGAACCCTATACGAATGGAGTCTATCACAAAATAACAAACATTATAAATACAAATTCCTTTTTATACTACATAACAGACATTACTACATTGTTATGCATAAATTAAAAATCATATTCGGTAAAGATCAGCCAGTTAAAATAGTTTCAATTATCAAATTAATATAAAATCTAAAATTGTCAACAATATACATAAATAAATACACATAAAACAATAAATACACATTTTTAAAAATATTAATCTTAAACTATGTTATAAAATTAAATTAAAAGATTACCCCTATACCTAAGAGAACAGACAAAAAAAATACCCGGCCAGATTACATGCCGATGCACAATATGGAATTTTTGCCATAAGCGGAGGACAATATTCAAGATTAGCACACCAATTTGATATAATTGTATAATTCATTTACCTATCGAAATGTATCCGATTCATTTAACTTCAAGAATATTTCTGAAATTATCTTCCCAAGTAATTCTTGGTCTTCCTCTAGGTCTTTTTCCCACTTGTTTAGCCTCCATAATTTTCTTTACTGAACGGCAGTCATCCATCCTCATTATAACGTTGAACCATCGAAGCTTCCCTTTCTCTATTATCTGGTTGACGGATTCAATTTTGAGTGTAGCCCGTATCGTTGTGTTTCGTATCCGGTCTCTTTTAGTCTTTCTCTCTATTTTCTTGAGATATCTCATTTCCATGCTTTGGAGGCGGCTGCGATCACATTGTTTTAGGGTCCAGAATTCGCTTCCATAAGTGAGGATAAGGATGAACGTCGAGCAATAGACAGCTAATTTTTGTTTCTTTGGCCACTTTCTCTCTTACTTAAAAACTTCCTATTGATGGCAGAGAACATCCTTCCTGAACTGGCAACTCTCGTACTGATTTCATCTCAGATTTTTCCACTCTTACTGATCGTCACAACCAGATACTTGAATGCAGGAACCTGCTCTATTATCTCCTCATTAATACGAATCCTAATGTTCTTCTTGTTTCTGGACATGAGCATACACTTGGTAGAAGTGCTAATGACCATATTTCTTTTTGCTAACTCTTCTGTCCAGACTCTAAATTTGCCTATAGCTTTGCTTTACTGTCAGCTATTAGCATAATATCAGTAGCATATGATGAACAGCTGGTAATTTCTAATATTACCAGGTGGTGTCTCCTTGGTTCTCTTCTTACATTCTTTAATAACATCATCCATTAGGGTGATAAAATATAGAGGGCTCCCTATGTCTCCCTGCCTGACTCCCATTGCCGTGAAAAATTCGGCGGATGTTTGATGATAATAAATATAACCATGTTTTATTTCTGAAATGTATGAGACACCTAATATATATAAGAGAAGAATTGAGTTATTGTGTTCATGTGATTAAAAGATATAAAACAAATTATAAACAATTTGGACATACAAGATTTGTAAAAGATTTAAAAACATTAATAAAATAGAGTTTGTACTTACAGATGAGTATAATTGCGATATCACTGAGTGAACGGAGTTTATCCGAAAGGTTTCGGAGATAAATGGGGAAGAGAAGACGAAGCTTTACAATGAAACGATTTCTTAAAACACTAAAACCTCTCCAGCTTTTAAATCCGGCTAGCTATAACAAAATTAAATAAGATATAATTTAAAAAACTTTATAATTATAAATATAAATAATGGTGGTTATATAATTGATTGTAGATAATTTAGTAGAAGTTGATTAGGGTTGTTGTAAAAGATAAAAGGATAAAAAAAAAATTCTGAACATCGGTATTTTTTTTTTTAAATTAACTCATTTTTCAAGCTCACACCAAGTGATGTGAAACAAACAAAATAATTTGTTTTTATATACTTTCACCTTTGAATGGACAACCAACAAATTTCTTCTAATACATATATAAATATTTCTATACATAATAATAATAATAAATTTCAATATTTAAAAAAAGGAACTTTTTTAATCATTTCTTTGGTTTTTTTAATAGTAATATCATACCATAAATAAAAATTTGATATGTAATTTTTACATTTATGTCTATTTTCAAAAATATATATCAATGCCTTTAGTGGACAAAATGAATTCTAAATCTAAAATTGGAAATATGTTCCTCAATTTTCAGAAAGTAATCAAATTTAGAAGCTCTATTGAAAAAATTGAAATTGTATACTTTACCATTATTACTAGCAGAGGATCACACACCAGTAGTCAACTTATAATTTCAAAGAACTTTAACGCATTATATTGCAACATTATCCTCAAATATTTTTTAAATAGAAAACCTAATGGAAGATGGAATATTAAGAGAACCTCATGAAGTTTGCTAATTTAAAAAAAAATGAACCATTTTTCTAAAAGAGGATTAAGCCTACTTATTCATACTTCAACTAATTTTACAGTAACTAATGTAATGAATAACTGTTCAAATTATATTAACAATTATAATTTTATCATTATCTTACCATAGTAAAATAATAGAGAAAGAACACAAAGTAAAAAATATTAAAACAGAATTCAATTAAATTACTAAGAAAAAAAAATGGAGCCAACAACTTTTGGCTCCAAAAGCAAACCAGTGTTAACTAGATTTATATTTAAATAATTAAAGTGAAGTAATAAACTTATTATTAATGGGTTAATCATTTTATTATAATAGAAAAACCCTATTTTATTTGAATTATTTTGCTTGATCACCATCTGTCGCTAGTTTTAGAACATTTTCAGGATTAGGACAAGAATATTTTATTTTAGGAAAAAAATTCAGTTACTGAGAAAATTTCATTATTTTCTTCTATTAAGAGATTAATTATAATGTACATTTTTTTATTATTCTGCCTTTGCAATTATCCCTGAAAATATTAAAAATATGTTTCATGTAACTAGATTTTGAAAAAATAAAACATACTTTTTTCTCTATTAAATATCAAA